ACCTGGGGGGGGGGGGGGGGGGGAAAAAAAAAAAAATTGGGGAGCCAAAAACTTTTAAAGGTTTTGGCGGGTAAAAAAAAAAAAGGGGGAAAAAAATTTTCGAAAGGTTTTTTTTTTTTTTGTTTTTTTTTTTCCCCCCCCTTTCCCGGGGGGGAAAAGTTTTTTTTTTTTTGGCCAAAAAATTTCTTCACCCCCGGGCCCGGTTTATTGAAGGGGTGTTCCCCCGTTTTGGGGTACTTCTTTGGGGGGGGGGGGGAAAATTCCCAAAAATTTTCCTCCCCGCCTTTTTGGGGAAAACTTTGGGGTTTTGGTTTTCCGGTTTTGGGCTGGGTTTTTTTTGGGGCCCGGCCCCCCCCCCCCCCCCCCCCATAAAAACCACGCCGCGGGGTCCCTCACCGTGAAAGAAGTGACGAAGTCGTGCGCGAAAGCGGACTTGGCCGCCTTTTCTATCTCAGCCATGGATGCCCCCGGCTTCCCTCGTGCAATGTTCTCGCGGATGGTGCCAGTAAACAGCACCGGTTCCTGAGCGAGAGCGTGTCAGGTGAAAGGGGAGGCAGCAGCAGCAGCGTTGTCGGTCTAAGCTTGTTGTTGTCTTCACATTAAAAACCGTTCCGAGATCTCGCTACCTAGTACGTTCATCCGTCCGTACTGATCAAACACTTGACCGGTCGATTCCCATGGCCGCAGGCTAACTTGCCCTAACAAAAAGTATAGAATACTCGAATAAAAAGGATCTCAACCGGCCGAAAGGCAATTGAAAACACTCTTACTTCCGAAACCAATAATACAAAACACACTCTAACACACGCAAACATGTTTAGGTTGGAGTGGAAGGAATTGTTGCTCGGAAAAACATAGAGGGCTCAACCACACATCCGTTTTCAGGCTTAATCAACTACGTTTTAGGATTAACCGAAAGCCAAAAAAATCACATGGATACACATCAAATTCGTCCCCTGTTCTTGGTATTGTAGGTTGTTCTTGCCGCACCTGTCCAACGTAGCCCATCTGGGAGCGTAGCCAGTGCACGTTGACCTCCTTGACGTCGCGCCCATCTACGGTAACAGTACCCTCCTCTGGGTCATAGAACCTGAGAGAATGAGAAAAAAAAACATGAAAAACGACACTACAAAAATGCTACTTTTGACAACAATTTTCGTCGGCGTTTCTGCTTGCTCCGCCTCTCGAAGACCAGCTGCCATCCCACGCATTCTGGCCGTTCGCCCCATTACGGGGCGGGGGGGCAATCGCTCCCCCTAGCAACAAAACTACTATTGAGCGTGTTTGTTTTATTTTGGCACTGGGTGTTTTTTTGTTTTTTGTTTTCGGGGGGCGCAATAATTATAAATATACACCAAATAAAAAAAAAAACGAGAGACAATGACGACCCGAACGGCAAAACCAAGAGATCGAGAAAAAAAGGGACATGAAAAACGACGGCAGCACAAACAAAATGCGAGACGCCGCGGCAAAGCCAACAGCAGCTGGGTAAAATTGATGGGTCGTGGTCCGGTATATATACTATCCCGAGGAACGTGTAAGGCGGAGGAGGAGGACGCTGACCCCGGAGGAGGATACCTACACCGATCGATGCAGCGCTTCCTTTCGAAGCAGTACAAGTACTGATTCCTGGTTCGACCCCGGGCTGGCTGTAGAGTTTTTATGCACCGTTCCGAGACTACAGCCGTACCATGGCCCCGACCCCAACAACACGACCCTAAGCTGTGGTATGGTATGGTATGGTATGGTACATAGGTAACCGCTAGGTCAATGTACGTAGTAAGCCGGAGGGGGCAAGGGCTAGACCGCTCGCTGCAGGTGTAAGCAATGCCGCGGCGGAAGAGCGGGGAAAGCTACATAGTACGAGCTGCACCTGCCCAAGGAATGTTCCGAGAAGAGGTATTTCGACACGGAGACGCCCATTTTCGACCAAAAGGTCGTAGGCACTATGTACACAGGAAAGGAGCTTCCGTAAAGTAATGCACCATGGTACCATGGTCTGGAACGCATCACGGCACCCACGTCTCCACATTCGTACCACGACGTGAACCACCACTACAGCAGCGTACCACGGGTGTGGACGCAAAACTCACGGTACGAAACACGCTCTCATGGAACACAACGTACCACACGGGCGTGGACACGAAAAAAATAACGGCGGTATGAACCATGCTCTCACGGTGTACATGTCCTACCACGGCGATGGACATGAAAAATAACACGGCATGAACCACGCTCTCACGGTTCATAGCGTACCACGTGCGTGAACAACTGTGTCTGTAGGTCACGGTATGATCCAGGCTCTCACGGTATATGATCGAGTGTCATCAGACCACCACGTCCAATACGTCACCACGGCGGCTCATAGCGTACCACGGGGTTGGCTGCACATAAAAAAAAAAATACCACCAACTGGTATCAAAACGACGCTCTCACGGTATAGCGTAACACGAGCGAGGACACAAAAAACCATCACAAAATAAACCACGCTCTCGCGGATTAAGTAAGTATGATTCAAGACCACATTTATCGCGGTGGTGTGGGCCACGATATCAGCATGTACCACGGATTTATCAGCATGTACAACGGTTTGGCACGATGTTTTTACAACCAAACAGTACAATAATAGTACCTGAGGAGCAACTGTATGCAGGTGGACTTCCCACTCCCCGACGGCCCGACTAGAGCCACTGTCTCCCCCGCACCGACATCCAGGTTGAAGCCGCCCGGGAATTTCTCCGACCCGTAGACCTGCGCATGTTTCGCGCGTAGGATGAACGACAGCCGTTGGTCACACACAAATACTATACAAAAAAAGACAACATATGAGAGAGGGGTCGTAGGATGACAAACGGCAGTCCGTCACACACATACAAAATACAAAATATAACATAATGAAAGAGGGGAGCACACACATGGAAAAACACACGTGCCTGTATGAAAGAGGGAAGGGGGGGCAATTGTGCATGCGATATGTCGTTCCTAAAACTTAGAAATAGAAAAAAAATACATACGCATACTCCGAGTTACTCCGAGTATACCACATATGCATACGCCGGCACCCTGCACAACATTGAGGCCTTGTTTGTAAGAGGGGCAGTAGCGGAGATCCGCGTGTGAGTCACAGGTTTTCGTCTGCTGCCGTGACAATCCCAGCGGGAAACCTAAGCACCGCCCGTCAAGGATATTGGTACAAACCAAACTCGATTCCTTCACACAGAGCAACAAATTTAGATGACATCTAGATGAAAGAAAGCAACAAAATCCACCGTAATTGTTTCGCATTCTGTAATAATAAGACACCCACAAATCGTTGCATAAACCTGAGCGCCAGGTACAGATAATATCCATACACCCGTTTTCGTTTGCATCCGTACCGTCCCACACACCTGGGCTAGAATCTCCATCCGACGCTACTTCTGGGCACCCATCTCCCAACACCCAAGATTGCCATACATACATACACGTGCAGCAGAGTCACCCCCAAACAAGTAAGTAATGAACTTAACGAACACAAATTGATTATTAAACCAACACCCTCCCGTACTTTCAAGGTGCACGAGGTCCTTTTCGCCACGCCTAAAAAACACGACACATCAAAAATACCATCCAGACGATTTCACCGGTTATTTTCGTCTACAGGGCAACCGGCATTCAACCGGGAACCGGGACAACTACTGCTGTACACACCTGTGCGTCCGGGCGCTGAGGGTAGGCGAACTTGATGCCCTTGAACTTCACGGCGCAGCCACCAGAGGGGCCCTTGGCACCGCCCTCCCCTAGCGGGTCGATGAGCAGGTCCTCATCGTTGAGGAAGAAGATTCTGCCGGCGGCGTGCCGCGCCGCGTTGGCTGCTCCGATTTCGCTCTGGATCTGTTTATGGTGGCAGGGTGGGAAGGGAAAGAAGGGCCACAACCAAATGGGTGCGTCCGTTAGAATGAAGATGCAGAGGGTGGGAGGGGGGAGGAGGGCCGCAAAATAATGGGTGTCTCGTTAGAACTATGTACCGCTGTACCATATGGTAGTCGTGACTCATTTCGTGGATAATATGCCAGTTCGGACGGATGAAGGTACTGGGCGGAGGGACCGGAACGGTTATTAACGTCAAGGCAACAACAGCTTCGTGGAAAATATTCCAGAACGGACGGATTAAGGTACTGGGCGGAGAGATCGGAACGGTTATTAATGTCAAGACAATAACAACAGCAACAAATAGGTGGTGTACAGCGGCTCTACAGGTGGGTATCCAATAAGTGGCAAATGACGTGATTGGTTCGGGTTTTCGTCCTTTGTAAGGCAAAGGAAAGAAAAAAAACAAGAGAAACGAACAACCGGCGGGGGGGGGGGGGGCACGAGTTGGACGACAGAGTGTCCTGCTTCTGCTTCTGCTTCTGCTGAACAAGTACAAGAAGACTCAACACTCTGCTAGGCAGCAGTGTTGTCTTGTTCTACCGTGCTAGCATCATTGCCCTGTACTGGGCTAGTTTCTATCCGATTCCGCTTTCTATGCGCTTTATGACGGTCATTTCCCTGTGTCTCTTCTTCGAGCCGTCTCTATTACCATAGTCGTGTGTGTGTATTTGTATGAGTCATTTTTTATCATTACCATCGACCGCGCTGACCAACGAAGAAACCTAAGTCTCAGTGCGGCTCAACACAGAAAAAATGCTCCTACAGTAGTGCTTAGCATCTACCCGTGCGTCCCGGCTGACCAATGAGAAGACATGAGTCTTGTACCGGGAAACTTTCTAATCCAAGGGAATGGGTACTACTGGACTAGCTTCATGGTGGTCATTTCAATGCGTCTCTTCTTCGAGCTGTCTCTACTACTTCCGTGTGTGTGTATTGTTATCACTAGCATCGACCGCGCTGACCAACGAAAAGACGCCAGCCTTAGTGCGGCTGAACACAGAAAATGTTTCTAGAGTGTGTTTGACTATTTTGTTGTACCTGTCCGACTCCGAAGGCCCCGAGGAAGACAGCGAAGAAGGCCTGGAAGAATGCTAGGAAGGTGATGGTGCCGTTGTCGATCAGGACGGCGCCCACGTAGAAGATGATCGCGAATACCCAGAACATCATCCCCTGGCTGTACCCGAAGGCCGCCGCCGTCATCAAACCCCTCTTCTTGCGGCCCTCGATGGACCTGGCCACCGCCTGTGTTCACGAAAAAGAAACGACAAGAGGGGTAAAATATACTCCACTCCCAGTACTAAGAAACAGGGGGTGTACTCATATACTCATGGTCGTGCATGCCGTAGTCGTTAGACCATTGACCTCGCATCCCTTCAAAGCCGGGACGGAGTACGCCGGGCTCTCACCGGACCAGGCTCTAGAAACGGGGGGGGGGGGGGGGACCCATGTTTTTCCCGACTTAATTTTTTAAACTTTTGCCCCCCCTTGAGAAAAAGGGGGAAAAGGGGGGGGGGTTTTTTTTTTTTTTTTTGGTGGGTTTTTTAGGGGGGGCGGTCCCGGCAGAAGAGGGGGGGAAATGGGAAAAAGCCCGCTTTGGGTTTAAGGGGTGGGGCCCCCCCCCCCCCTGGGGCCCCCCTGGTGGTGGTGGTGGTGGTGGTTATGGTGGTGGGGGGAAACTCTCGCAGCTTTTTTCCCCCGGTTTGGAAACGGAACCCCAAGGAATTTTCCTTGGGTTTTGGGGGGGGGAAAAGTTTTTCCCCCTTTTTTTTCCCCCCCGTTTTTGGTTTTTTTGTGAAGGGGGGGGGGGGGGTCCAAACGGGGGGTTTGGGTGGGGGGGGGGGGGGGGTTTTTTTTTTGGGAAAGGAAATTGTTTGGGCAGGGGGTTTCCCCTTGGGGGGATTTGGGCCGGTGGTGGCGGGGTTTTTTTTTTGCTTCCCCCGCCCCGGGCAGGGGAATTTTTTTTTTTTTTTGGGTTCCCCCCCCCCCCCAAGTTGGGCATTGACGGTGGTTCCCCCCCCCCCCCCCCCCCCCTCTCATGTCTCGTCCGCGAATGCCCCGCTTTCAACGCAAATCATCACACCACCACGTTTACTCGTGTGGTATTGTAGTGGCTAAGACTGGCGAACGGTAACGACCTGAACGCTAAGGGCGCCGAGTCTATCGGGGTGCATCTCCTCTCGAAGGCATCGTCGATCGTCGGTGATAACCTTGGGCTGAGGTTACCCCCTTACCCGAGCCACCCCGTTTCGGTGAGGACGCCTTTTTTTCTCTCTTTTTTTCCCACA